AAGAGGTTAATATAAAAAATATTTTTTGTCCGATTCATCGATTAATCGAAAAAATAATCGGCCAATTCATCGATTTTTAAAATAATCGTTAGTTGCAGCCCTATTATGAACCAATGCTTATAAATGAAAGTGCTCCATTAGCTTTTTAATCAGTACTCCTGAGTTATACAATTAAAGCGGACTTTGTCATCATGTAACAGAGAAAAACTTTTGATCAAAAGTTACTGAAACAAGTATTCAAGTTGTAGGACTAATCCCTGTGAGCTAACTTTCAATGCAATCAATGGAATGTTGAGAAAACTTGCAAAACAATTGTTCCCCTGACACGTAAAAGTCACGAGGGAACGGCTCGGCTCTGTACTCAAGGCTTAGCGTCGTGTTTCTCAACTTCTTCGCCGAAAGCGGAGCTGTGGAGAGCCGCTTCGCCATTTTTTCAATGTTTTGATGGGGGAGGGTGGGCGGAAATGACGGAGCGGGAGGCGTTGTGTCGCCCAGATTTGCGCCCCCCGGTGTGCATTTCCCCCCGATGTACGTTCTTCTCCAATACAAAAACAGAATTTAATTCCAAATGTAGAAATCCCGCGTTAACACTAGATTCTGCATTAATCTGCCAATTCTGCGATTCCGCCCGCGATTCAGTGATCGCGGAAATTATAGGGCCCTGGTCTCCATCCTTCACCATCAAAATATGGAGCCGAGCTATTTTTATGCTTCGCTCCGGCCAAGTGCAATCGCATCAAACAGGAAAAAGAACGGCGAGAAGATCCGGTTTGTCAAATTAAGATATAGTAACGACAGATCAGTAACTACAGGTTAGAGCAGAAGTCGGAGCAGAGCAGGATGGGAAGAACTGTGGAGGATGTAGACTTTGCTTTGTGCAGGCGGTCTGGAACGGAGCGGGGCGGAGGATCTGGGATCTGAATGCAAGTCATCCCATCTGGAGTACTTGTGATTGGTTTATACATGGGAGCTTTGTGAGCTCCATAGTTCTTTGCTTTTTAAAGCGATATTTTGTGTTTTCTCTTACCTTTCCTGGCCATGGTGGGTAACGGCCCAGCTTGCCCCTGAAATAAGACTTAACGTTAGCATTAGCTTAGCTGTAGAAATGTTTGAAAAACAGAATCAAAAGGCTGCAGTATCACATGCAGCACAATCTGGGCTCTGAGAGTAAAATGCTAAACATGTATAGCTTCAGATTAGCTTCCATCTACCCTCCCCTAAACCGGACGCTTAGCTTAACCAACATTCGCAGACTCATCAGCACCGCTGCCTTCACCTGCTAGCCATTGTTCAAGCTTTGAGTCGTCAATGAACGTTTATTTTGTTTAAACTGAGACTGATGAACCGTTTGTTATCATTGTGTCTACGGCTGAAACAATTCATTCGAAATAATCGATTATTGAAATAATCAAAAAACTAATTCAGTAATTGATTAATCGTTAAATGGAGCATATAGTAAAACATGCCTTTAGCTGCCAGAGCGACCCACTTAGAGCAGCATTTATACTATTATACTTAAACTCCTCAAGTAGAAACGTATTTGTTTCACCGGGTTTAATTTCATAGAAAATCCTCTTTAAGGAACTTTTAGCTTTCCGATTATTAATCCATTCATCGAAATAATAAGCAACAGATTAATTGGTTTGTAAAATCATCATTAGTTGCAGCCCTAATTGTATCAATTTATCATATATATATATATATATATATAGAGAAGGAAAAAAGCAACATCGCCATGAAGAATCTGCACCACAATCAGGCATCGTCAGACTGATGTCAAAATAATCAGAACCACCCTGAAAAAAAAAATGTATAACTCGATATCTAACATTTACCTCCTGATTAGGATTGTTGTGGCAATTAAAGTGCAAATTTAAATTAGCTGTGTTTGCATGTGCAAACTTTCGCCAATCCGATCCAACTCTTGGTTAATCGGAAGTTTAAAATCCGTGTTTCCGTGGACACCAATAAAATCATGCAATCTGATGTGTGAAAACACGTACCGAGGTCAGATTAAATGATTTGATGAGCAGAAGCAGCTAGTTTTCTGGAAACGTTTTAGAGGCAGAAGACGAAGCTGCCGCCTGTTTGTAAACAAACCGGTAATCTTCAGCTCATCCGCTGCTGCAGTCTCTCCGTTTTTCTTTTTCTCTGGTGCTTCAGTCGTGTCTGTTGATGTAGTTTTTTCCACTATGGACCTTCGTTATATCATCCTTTTGCTATTGCTGGTCATTTTAGTGAAGTTAAGGGCTCAGCTGTACCGTATGCTAACGCTGATTAGCTACAGGGCAGGATAGGACATTATATTACATTATATTTAGAGCAGGAGGCAGAGGATGAAGGTTAGCAAAGAGAGAAAGGTCATCCTGATGTACTTTTATCAGCAGAGGAGATTATCCTAATCGGTAAAAAAAAAAACTCTCAATTTGAATGAAATTTCTTTCCGAATCGTATTTTAATAATCTTCCATCTGACATGTTTACATTAAAAACATTTTAGAATTGATCGGGCCTTCCGTCCCATTATTTCTGTCCATGGACAAAAATCAGTTTGCTCTTGATTTGTTTTTTTGTTTTTTTGTTTTTTTGCCACAGTAAAATTTTTCAGGCCACCAAAGAAAGCTGAATATCAGACAAACACAACCTGAATGAGCAGAAAAGGTTTTTCTAAAATATGTTTTCATTTGTTTTCACTGGGATCTGGGAGTGGAAACTGTCCCCGAACCCTGGCAGCTGGTTGGCCTCGTTAGCAGAGGATCATGAAGTGTTTATGAAAACTGGAGTTGGATATACATCACAGACATTAACGTAAGGAGGGAGTATGAACAGCCGCATTCAATCCTGGTTTTCACCGGCTTTAGGTTACACTGTGTTAATTTAACAGACACTCTGTGCTCCTAACTAACTTAGGCATATGCCGATATCGTTATTAAAGCACAGAAAAGTTTGAACAAAATGACAGAGCTGCACAACGCCAGCCTTTCTCTTTGGCTGCAGGGATAAAAAAAAACATTCCAAGCAGCAATTATACCCAAATGATTGAAATCGTTTTTCTGTTTGGGATCACAGCAAACACAGAAACCCTGAAAATAGGTGGCCCGTGTGTTTTTTTTTGGTTTAATCGAATAAATTCATTATTTCTATGTCAACAACAGAGTTAAAAGAGAAAGCTGCTCTGGCTGACATGCCACGTTTAGACGTTTCATAAGGAGCTAACACAGTCTGGTAAAGTGTTTTTCTTTATTTTCTTTAGCTTAAAGTCTTTGAAATAAAACTCCAGAGAAAGAATCAAGCTTTTTTTTCCCCCTGGTTTTATGAAAGCCCACCTGCTGCTGCAGACTGATGCCTCGCTAACCCAGAAACAGCCACAGACAGTAACGGTGTGAAAACCTACAGCGCTTCACTGGTAACAATGCAACGCTGTTTTTAAACCACAGCTGGACGAGCTGCAGGCAGCACATCTGGATAGAAATCCCAATAACCAACCTCCGAAAATTATCTTAGGACATTTTTAGAGCCAAATGTATAAAGAGAAAGAAACTAAACAGAAAATATATAAATGGTAATAATCAGGGGTGGATTTAGGAAATTTGGGGCCCTAGGCAAAGACAGGCAGGGGGCCCTCTGAACTGAGAAGACAACACATAAAACTTCCCCATTCTCCAGATACAGAAATGTTAATAGAATAGACATCCATTATCTGTTCTAGGTTTTGTCCCTCTCTTCTTGTTTTCCTCTCTATGTTTTGTACTCAGCTGACTTTTCATGCTGTCTCTAAAGGAATGAAAGATTTTTTCCAAGCAC